AAATGAGCATAAATTATGTTAATGCTCATGCTATTTTCGACCAAAAACCTAAAATTTGGAAGATCTTCGCCGGTTGAATTTATCCTAATTCATACGATGGCTATGTAGGTCTTGATCGAATATAGGCCAAAAGCTCCACTATTTAACTATAGAAAATTTGTCCAAATAGTGTTTCCCGAGGTGAATATGTCCGCCATAATTGGTGGTCCCCTTAACACATTTTCGAAAACTACTTTGAAAAAACATTTTTGGTAGAAAACGTTCATCAAATTCCCAATTTGTCTTCGATAAAAACGAATTTTTCAGTTTCAGAACAATGTTTCGATCAATTAACTATTAACTATTACTACGAAAGATTGAGCAACGATGTACGATCTTGCACACATTGGAGAGATACTGGAGAATATGCTTTAAGTTCCCTAAGCCATCTTAAACCTTCTCTTTCATATAATAGATTTGAATTCTGTCGATACGATAGCCTAAATGTGGGTTGGTATATTCATCAGCCACCTAGAACAATGTCATCATATGTATCATACCTTGATCTTCACACCTTCGCAACCAGATAAGCTTGAGGATAGACATATTGCACCATGGGTCCTATATTACTCACCCAAAATTCGTTGACTCTGATTCATATGAGTTGTTAATTCCACTTCCCGATTTGTTGGGGCCTCAATTCACTTCTTGTAGCCGGAATCTGAACAGACTAAACAAAATGTAGGGCCTGGAACCTCTTAGGGTATTTGTACCCTACACAACTATGTTGTCAGGGTATTATAGCTTTGTGCAGCCCCAACGCCGCGAAATTTTGGTCCTAGACCCACCTTTAAGTATACCGATAGTCATATCTCGACCAGCTGAGTCGATCTAGACATGTGTGTCCGTCCGTCTGTCCATTATAATTTGTAAACACGATACAGGCCACAGTTATGGACCAATCTTCACGAAATTTTGCATGTAGGATGGGTTCTGGCCAATGAAGACCCCTATTGGAAAAGATCGGTTAATATTTAGGGGAAGAAATGGACCAAAAACTTTATTTTAGTCGGTTTTTCTGGTCGCTCCAGAGGCCGCAATTATGGCCAAAACACCGCGAATTTTTGCATGTAGACGGGGATCGGGCCAAATAATAAATATGCCTGTTTTGATAAAGATCGGTCAATATTTAGCGGGTCAAATGGACCCTGACTTTTGTGTGAAAAATTGCAAAATGTTTATTCTATGGGGTATATATTTGCACCTGAAGGTCCTAGACGCGAGAAGTTGATAGTATGTTCAAGAGGAGTGGTTGGTCTTTAAATTGATACTAATTATATTGTCGTATGTACTCGGATGCGGGACTTGCACATAAATATTTACAGGTGCTTACGTGCCACACTAGACGGCAGAAATATAGCGCTGATCGCTTTGAAATTTTCCATGAGGTGGAAGTTATGGTCACCGACAACGTCTATAACTTTTTGGTGATGATCAGATAATAATTTTTGGGATGAAGTGGACCGAAAACTTATTTGTTGGTGTTTTTTTCGAGTCGATCTATAGGCCAAAATTGAAAGCCGATCATCACAGCACAATGCACGGTGAAGGGGATCTGGACAAGTGATTAGAAGGGCTGTACTGAATATTTGTAATATTTGTTGACCTCTAGTCGCACAAGAGGGTGCAAATATCGCGAAATATTGCCCAAGCTCATAATATAGAATCACAGAAAGTTATAGTTTCGTGGAAGTTGTGTAGGGTATCACATGGTCGGCCCCGTCCGACTATACTGCTCCGCTCACTGATTTTATATTAATTTAGAAATCAGCGATTCCAATTATTATTATTACATAAAAAAGAAAAAAGTTGTTAAAACTCCATGAATATATTTTTCTAAATACCTTCTGAAAGCTGATGCAACTGACCTTTTACTTCTGCCAAATCGCGTTACCCAAAAAAAAGGAAAAATTTACAATTATTTCCATACATCTTTCTAGCCACAAATTTAGTCCCACACAATGACTCCGAGACGAAGTCTTAAGCTATGGTGCATAGCACTAATCGTATGCATTGTGATGGCCAGCATGATACCGAATGTGGAAGCCAAAACTAAACGACGTCACAAAAATAAAACTTCCAGTGGACACAAAACCAGTAGCGGAAGCAGTACCGGAAGTGGAAGTGGTACTACTCACAAGAAACCCCATACCAGCGGAAGCAGTACCGGAAGTGGAAGTGGTACTACTCACAAGAAACCCCATACCACGCAGACTGGACACAAAAAACCCTCTTCAGGTGGCAATAATGATAATCCGCCAGAAAATAAACCTTCCAAACCAAATCACCCCCACCATCAGCCACCAAGCGGAGAAAATCCACCTCCAGGAACAAATCATCCGGGACAAAGTATACCCGGTAATAAACATCCTGCACACAAACATCCTAGCCAATCAGGAAATGGTAATGAGAATGGCGAACAAAATCGCCCAAGCGGTCATCATCATATAAATAAGCCACATCCGGGTAATGGCGTAAATAATCATCCGAATAAATCTCCCACCAATCATGGTCATGCCAAACCAAATCATCCTAGCCAAAGTACTCCCACCCATGCACCACCAATTAAAAATCATCCCATACATAGTCATCATAAGAATCAGGAGTCGGAAGGAATGGAACCAAATGAGGAAATAAAACCGATCCACAATCACCCACATCATAATAGTCCGATGATGGGGCAGTCGGGACATCATGGTGTTAAAAATCATCCAGCTCATAGTTATCCCACGCAGGAACCAGCACATCCAACACAAAATTATCCCAGTCATGGGGCTGTAAATCATATGCATGGTGCAGGATATCAGCATCACAACCCCTTGCCACCAAGGGCGCTGTTTGTGCCAGCGGGTGGCAGCTATCCCACCGCTGGGGTAATTTATGTCCAGCGGGCACCCTCATATGATGATGTGGCTTATGGTAAGCATATTTTTTTAAGGAAATCATTTCAATATTTTATTTTTATTTTCATTCTCCTTTCTTCCCCCAGAGGAGGGCAGAGTTCTGGGTCGCCAAATTGCCCAAGCCATTCGCCGTAGAAATCGCCGCAAACAACAGGAACAACAAAGAGGTAATAACACCTCCAGTACCACAGCTACCCCTGACAATGGTCTGCTAGCCGATGGTCCCCTAAATCCAAATGCCGCTCCCTATGGTGTTGTATGTGTTCCGGTTAAGGTACCTCAACCTGATCCTCAAGATCCCATGAAAATGCTTGAAACTGAACAGAAGGTTTGTTATCCCGCACCACCACCTGCTCCAGGTTCCACACCAATGCCATCTGCTCAAAGACCATTTATACCGGAAGGAGCCAATGTTCCAATGACACCATTAAACTCGGAACCAACATCTCTACCCTCAAATGGACCAATGATGTCTGTGCAATCAGCAATAGCACCAGGTTTAGGAACAAATATGCCAAGTGTGGGACAACAAAATAATCCCGCAATTATGCCAATGATGCCAGCCCAATCTGCTCCGGTATATATGCCAAAAAATCCAAGTGTGGTCCAAGAAAATCCCACAGGAACTGTGCCAATGATGTCCGGCCAATCCGCTCCTGTGTATGTACCTAATAATAATCCAAGTGAGGGACAACAAAATCCTGCAGGACCTATGCCAGTGATGTCCGGCCAATCAACACCAGTCTATGTACCCAATATGGCCACAGTGGCGCAACAAAGTGTTGCATCGGAACAACCTACCAGCAGCGTACAACCTGGACCAGTGTATATGCCTCAAATGAATAATATGCCATATGTTTCTGAGGTCGCTGCAAGCAGTGTACAATCGGCTCCAGTATATGTACCTCAAGTCTCCAGTATACAAGGTGCAACTACGGCATCGGATATGCCGCAGCAAGGTGTAACAACTTTGACCTAAAATGGTAATTTTTTCAATATATTTTAGTTATAATTATCGTTGCAACACCTCCAAATATTCACCTGAGACCACGGTATTCTTGATCGGAAAAAAATTCGATGTCGATTCGATTCAAGTTTCATGGTAGCCCCCTATAACAATATGGGTATTTTGAGTAGCTCGGACACAGTTCACAGTTTACTATTTTGAATTCTCATTGGATTCTCTCTACCAAAAATTATTAATATTGGTATATGTTGTGGGGCAGCCCCGAATTTTTTTCTATACAAAAATGACCTAGAAACTGATGACAGATTGTACCATATTTAGTACCATTTAGTACTTATAAGTTCAATATTCCAACACTATCTCAATCAGGTACTCTAATGGTAATTTTAATTCCAAATATTAGTTTTCCATAAAATATATTACTTTAGTACAATTTAGTTCACATAATTACGAATTTTAAAAAATACCACTATGTCTCAATCCTACACTTCCAGTAGTAGTAAGTAACAGTAGTAATCGTAACCCATACTTTTAAGTATTCCATCTCTATACGCTGAACTAAATGCAAATAGTACCAAATTTAATACCATTTAGTACTTTCCATACAAATAAGTATGAATTTCTAAAATGGAGCATCTACATATTTCTTTCCATCAGTGAATCACATTCCAAATTTCAGAATTATAGCTCTTCCCATTTGTCTAACCTTAATACGGAGTCAATGACGCTAAATCCGGATTAAGCCTTATTCCGGGGTCAATGACCCTTAATCCGGATTAACCCTTAGTCCGCCGTCAATGATCCTTAATCCGGATTAACCCTTAATCCGCTGTCAATGATCCTTAATCCGGATTAAGCCTTAATCCAGGGTCAATGCTATTTAATCCGGCTCAAGCCTTAATCCGGGGTCAATGACCTTTAATCGCGGGTCAAATACCTTTAATCCGGATTAAGCCCTAATCCGTGTCGACAACATTTAATCCGAATTATGGCTTAATTCGGGGTCAATGACCTTTAATCCGGGGTCAATGACTTTTAATCCGGATTAAGCCCTAATCCGGGGTCCACGATATTTAATCCGGATTAAGGCTTAATCCGGGGTCAATGACCGTTAATCCGGATTAACCCTTAATCCGCTGTCAATGATCCTTAATCCAGATTAAGCCTTAATCCAGGGTCAATGATATTTAATCCGGAGTCAATGACTCTTAATCCGATTAAGCCTAAATCCTTCAATGACGGATTAATACGGATTAAGCCTTAATGCGGGGTCAATGACCCTTAATCCGGATTAAGCATTAATCCGGGGTCAATGACCTTTAATCCGGCTTGAGCCTTAACGCGGGGCAAATAACCTTTAATCCGGCCTTAATCCGGGGTCAATGACCTTTAATCTGGCATACGCCTTAATCCAGGGTCAATGACCTTCAATCCGGATTAAGGCTTAATCTGAGGTCAATGAGCCTTAATCCGGGATCAATGACCCTTAATCCGGATTAAGCCTTAATCCGGGGTCAATGATCCTTAAACCGGATTAGCCATAATCCGAGGTCAATAACCTTTAATCCGGATTAAGCCCTAATCCGGGGTCGACAACATTTAATACGAATTATGGCTTAATTCGGGGTCAATGTCCTTTAATCCGGGTCAATGACCTTTAATCCGGATTAAGCCCTAATCCGAGGTCAACGACATTTAATCCGGATTAAAGCTTAATCCGGGGTCAATGACCGTTAAACCGGATTAACCCTTAATCCGCTGTCAATGATCCTTAAACCGGATTAGCCATAATCCGAGGTCAATAACCTTTAATCCGGGGTCAATGACCCTTAATCCGGATTAAGCATTAATCCGGGGTCAATGACCTTTAATCCGGTTTGAGCCTTAATGTCGGGCAAATAACCTTTAATCCGGTCTTAATCCGGGGTCAATGACATTTAATCTGGCATACGCCTTAATCCAGGGTCAATGACCTTCAATCCGGATTAAGGCTTAATCTGAGGTCAATGAGCCTTAATCCAGGTCAATGACCTTTAATCCGGATTAATCTTAATCCGGGATCAATGACCCTTATTCCGGATTAAGCCCTAATCCGGGGTCGACAACATTTAATCCGAATTATGGCTTAATTCGGGGTCAATGTCCTTTAATCCGGGTCAATGACCTTTAATCCGGATTAAGCCCTAATCCGGGGTCAACGACATTTAATTCGGATTAAGCCCTAATCCGGGGTCAACGACATTTAATCCGGATTAAAGCTTAATCCGGGGTCAATGACCCTTAATGGGGATTAATCCTTAATCCGGGGTCAATCCTTTAATGCGGATTAATCCTTAATCCGGGGTCAATTACCTTCAATATGGATTAAACCTTAATGCGGGGTCAATGACCCTTAATCCGGATTAAGCATTAATCCGGGGTCAATGACCATTAATCCGGATTAAGCCTTAATCCGGGGTCATTGACCTACAATCCGGCTTAAGCCTTAATCCGGGGTCAATGACATTTCATCCGAATTAAGCCGTAATCCGGGATCAATGACCCTTAATCCGGATAAAGTCTTAATCCAGGGTCAATGATTAATCCGGATTAATTAACGCTTAATCCGGATTAAGGTCATTGGCCCCGGATTAAGGCTTAAGCCGGATTAAAGTTCATTGACCCCGGATTAAGGCTCATTGACCTCGGATTAAGGCTTAATCCAGATTAAGGGTCATTGACCCCGGATTAAGGCTTAAGCAGGATTAAAGGTCATTTACGCCCGATTAAGGTTAGACAAACGGGAAGATCTAGAAATCTCAAATTTTGGAATGTGTTTCACTGATGAAAAGTTAGAAAGATGTAGATGTTCCATTTTAAAAATTAGTACTTATGAGTATGAAAAATATTAAATGGTACTAAATTTGGTGCTATTTGCATTTAGTTCAGCGTATACAGATGGAAAACTTAAAAATATGAATTAGGATTAATATTAGAGTACAGGATTGAGGTACTTATGAGTACTAAATTTGGTACAAGTTGAATTTAGGTGAGTCTTGAAATTGGGAAATAAAATTACTGTTACAGTGTAGGATAAAAGATATGCGTACTTATGGGTACGAAAAGTACTAAATGTTACTAAATTTAGTACAATTTGGATTTTTGTTGAAGGGATAGAGCTGAAAACCTGAAATTTGGAATAAAGATTACTGTTGAGGATTGAGCTATAGGAACAGCTTTGGGAATTTGCATTAATGTGTATGAAAATTACTAAATAGATCTAGATTTGGTACAATTTGGGTGAACGAAGAGAACTGTAAACCTAAAATTTGGATAATGGTTACACTTGAATAGAAGTGGAATTCGGAATATTAGTACGAAAATATATACAGTATTCACAATTCCCATTTAAAATATAGTTTATGTATTTTTTATTCCCTTTCCGCATACGGAATATCGTGCTCTCGCTAGTTCTTTATAAATCAGCAACTTTTAAAAAACTATTTTTTATATTACTTATTTTACTCTTTTTTTATATTTTCAGGTCAATATTGAAAATCTATTGGTGCCCCATCAAATTATTTTACTACTTTTTTTAATAATTACATTTAGTAAATACACTATAAAAAATGTATACAATATTTATTTTATATATTAAGCGAAAAACATGATTGTAATATTTACGACATTTTTTTTAAATAAATAAAACAATAAAATACAAAATTAAATTTATTTTCTTATTATTTTTTTAATGAAATATAGTTTAAGAGTATTTTTGTAGAAATGAAAACAGCCATGGGCGAAGATTTTATATCTTGTGTAGAGATCAATAGAGATTTAGGATATTTTTAGGAATATGTTTTTTATAGAGACCAAAAGAGTCATATGCGAGGATTTTTTACCCTACACAAGAGTTTGTAACGCCCCAAGACTTTATATTAGTCCTAGGTAGAGTTGGGTAGTTCCCGAAGGAACAATCGGTACTAGTTCCAAATCATTAATTAATATAATTCCTTTTTCTGATCTCGTTCCTTTTTAGCATCGTTCTTTATTCTGATCTCGTTTTTTTTCAAATGCTGTCACATTGTTATAATATATAAACATTATTAATAATATATAAACATACGCTCATCAATTTATTATGGTGTAAATAGCTAAATTTTATTATTATTTTTTTTTAATATTTTTATTTATTTATAAATAAATTTTCAATCATCTATTAACAAATCAAATAAAAACCAGTAAGGAAAGTAGCAAAGTCGGACTGGGCCGACTATACATATGTATCCTTACAATTGCAATGTTCATTCGAAGGAACATACTCATCTCTTTTAAATATAATTTCATTCGGGCAGATTTAAAGTCGTCTACCACGGGACAAGTTTATGGAAAACGATTTATTGCAAAATTGATACACCCTATTCGGCACGACAAACTGTTACAAATTTTATTTCAATCAGACACCCGTTCGAAATACATATGGAAGCCAAGACTGCATCTGCACCAATTTCAAAAAAACGCAATAACTTCATTGAAGTCTCATTTTGATACTTTGTGCAAAATTTTAAAACAAAACACTGACAATCATTAGGAGTTTGGTACACCATTTATGTAAAATCGGACGAATATATATGTATATGTGGAAGGTATATCTTTATCTGAACCGATTTTTCCGAAACTTACCACACATCATTCTAGACTCAATTCAGTACGCTATGCAAATCGTATATATGGACTTTGGTGCACAATTTACATAAAATCGGACCAAAATATATATGGCGGCTATACCTAAATCGGAACCGATTTTCACGAATCTTAATACACGTCACTCTAGACTTCATTCAGTACGCTATGCCAAATTTCGTGCAAATCGAAAAATATATAGGGACATTACATTAAATCGGACGAAAATATATATGGGAGCTATATCTAAATCCGAACCGATTTTCATAAAATTTCACACAAATCATTTTAATCTCAATTCAGAACGCTATGTCAAATTTCGTGCAAATCGAAGGATATATAGAGACTTT